TGAGAGAGAGAGAGAGAGAGAGAGAGAGAGAGAGAGAGAGGCACTTGCGCTTCCTCTCTCTCTCTCTCTTTCTCTCTTTCTTTTTCTCTTTCCCCTCTCCCTCACTCTTTCTCTCTTTCCTCTCCCTCCCTCCCCCTTCTTTCTCCAGGTGAGGAGAGAGAGAGAGAGAGAGAGAGAGAGAGAGAGAGAGGGGGAGAGAACGAAAGGCAGAGGGCACCGAAGGGGCGGGAAGGGGGGGCAGGAGGCAGCAGAAGACCCCCTGTTGCCCCTGTTGCCGCTGGAGGAACCCAGCTCTGCTGCCTGCCGGGCCTGCAGGGATGCCCTGGCTCACAGTCACGTTGGCAGGCCGTCCCATGTGCCGCTGGCGTCCCCGGGCTCAAGTCGGGCCATGGGGCATCTGCGGAATGCCCTGCCCGTCGGCTGCATCGCCAAGCCTCCCCTCGCTCCATCGCCCCCATATCGCCCCCTTTTCTTCCTTCACCCCCACGTCGCCCCTTTTCGTTCCATTGCCCCCCTAAAAAATGAAATTGCCCCCTGGGGGCGATATTGCCCAGGTTAAGAACCACTGCTCTAAAGCACAGTTAGGTGTTCAACCTGAGCAAAGAAATCAATGCTGCATTTAAAGCTATCCAAGTAAACTGTTAAGTTGCAATGCCAAGTTATTTTACTATTTGAAGTTTGCCCACATGGTCCTAGGTAAGTGGGCCTTTGACTTCAACAGAAAAAAAAATTAAAATAATGTTATACTGATATAGAACATCCTGTGGAGGGAAAATAATTTTGCTTCTCAAAACCTCCACTTTTTGCCTGAAACTTCATGCAATGCCACAGGGCATCCTTGCAAAACAAAGATGAGATGGCTAGGATATTTGTTTAATCTTTTGTTTAAATAGCATTTGAATATTGGAAATCCCTCAGTGAAATCAGATGAAATGTTTTAAATTTGTTTTTCTTCAGTTCTTTTTTAGTTAAGATTTCCACCAACTGGTTGTCAAGGTTTCTTATTGTTGATAGGTTTCTGTTTTATTTTTACCATTTTAAGATTGTTGACTTTTCTGTGATTTCTCAACTTCTCTTCAATGTGTGTTTTGCTACCAGTACCAATACCCTATATTTCTATTGAGTTTGTCACTGATTTACTTTCAGCCAGGATTTTTAACATATTGCATTTAGTGAAATACAGAAGATCACAATTTCTAGTTTAACAATTTTGTCCCTTTCTGCAGATGTTAGGAACAGAGCTTACTGTACGCCTTATCAATTAAAATTGCCCTGCCAGGATTCTGATATTGACATTTACAAGCACTTTAAAACCGATCCTGGCTTTAAGATAACTAATATCTGCATCTTCACACAATTCATATATTTCCTTCCTTGATAGAAGCTCGATTTACATATATGAGTTTTGCAGTAACAATAAGCATGAGCAGATAACAAATATCATGTCTGTGAGATTGGTAGCATAGAATATTCAGCCTATAAGTGTTTAAGATATAAAAATAAGATGCTTCTCGATTTTTTTCAATCCGCCCCACATCAAGCAAATAGTTTACAAGTTGCTCTGAGCTTGTAAAAAGAGAGAGAGCAGTTTTGCTCCTTGTGTAGTTCTAAATGCAATAGCAACAGCTGATGGAAATACAAGTGTGTGTGTGTGTGTGTGTGTGTGTGTGTGTGTGTGTGTGTATGTAAGTCAACATTGACTCCTGGCAATTGCCTGCAAGTTCATGCAGTTTTCTTGGCAAGATTTTAGAAGTGGTTTGCCATTGCATTCTTCCCAAGGCTGAAAGAGAGTGACTAACCCAAGATCACCCAGCTAGCCTTGTGCCTAAGGCAGGACTAGAATTCACAGTCCCCCAGTTTCCAACCTTGGGTCTTAACCATTACAACAAACTGGTGTGTTAATCATCCCATTGTCCCTGGCTACTTATAAATTTCCAATTTTCTTTGTGAAACAACTCTGTGTACTGAAGTTCCACGACACATGTAGGTATGAGATGAATAGATATTTATGCATCATACCCAATTTTTCTTGTGCAGTTGCCCTCTCATTCCGCAACTCTTTCTTATACTGCTCTTCCAGGTTATTCACTTCTAGTATGTGAAATCCTTGAATCTCCCTGCCAAGACAACATAACAGGAAAGTAAGGTAAAAAAGGCATTTCTGCACTTGTGGACTGTTAGGTCCTCTAGTCTGTCTTCATAATAAACTTGAAGAGATACACACAGAGTGGAAACATTGCCTTAGTGAAAAGCTCTTCTCTTGTACAAGTCTCAGCACCTGATTTTTGTCACTTTACTATACAGCAGTGGTTCTCAACCTGTGGGTCGGGACCCCATTTGGGGTCGAACGACCATTTCACGGGGGTCGCCAAACAACGCAGTCTGCCATTTTTTCCCCCTTTTCCTTAGCTGCGCTACTTCCTTTTATTCTATTGGCTTTTGAAAGCCAATAGAATAGACTCTCTTGAATAGAGTCTAATTCTATTGGCTTTCAAAAGCAATAGGAATTGTCCAGGCTGTCTCTGCCCTGCTGAGCCCGCCAAAAGTCCCATTCTGCAAACGGTGCTGCACCAGTTGAGTAGTCCTCGACTTACGACCGGTTGAGTAGTCCTTGACTTACGACCGGGTTGGGGATTGTGGCATTAAAAAGGTTGAGAACCATTGCTATACAGCCTTTAATCTTATCTAAAATCATATCCAGTCTGGTTGTAAAATATCCTTTACATTTCAGGAGGAAATCAGAGGGACTCAAATACTCTATGGGAGGGGGGGAGGGAAATCTACAAAAATCTGTGCAGTGACTGGAGAGGGTGACAGCAAAGCAGCACTAAAAGTACAGAAGAAACATACACAAGCATGTCTTAGCCTGAAGAGAGAAAGTAAGGAAGATCAGCCCTTCATGTATCATTCTCTTTGTGGCATTATGAAAAAGACTAAAGCATGAGATCAATTCAATACAGATAGTCCTTGACTTACAACCATTTGTTTAGTGACTGATGTTACAATGGCACTGAAAAAAGTGACTTGTGACTGTTTTTCACATGACCCTTGCAGCATGATAAAATTTCGGATGCTTGGCAGTTGGTTCATATTTATGATGGTTGCAGTGTGCCAGGGTCATATGATCACCTTTTGTGACTTTCTGATGAGCAAAGTCAATGGGGAAGCCAGATTCACTTAACATCTACTGTATGTTACTAACTTAACATCTGCATTGATTCACTTAACAATTGTGGCAAGAAAAGTCATAAAATGCGGCAAAAATGATTTAACAAATGTTTTGTTTAACAATATAAACTTTGGGCTCGATTGTGGTCTTAAGCCGAGGACACTTGTAGATGTTGGACAGTGTGGGGAGCCTCCTTTCTCTCCAGTCATTGGTTACAATACTCCAGGGCCTTTCTGGTCTGGGCAGTGGGAGTCTCCAGGATTTTCTCATTAACTTTCCAGACCTCTGGGCCAACCTGGCTTTGAAAGATAGATCAGCCCAGCTAACAGGTGACTAGAGCTGGTAGAGAACTCCACAAGGAAGCAGAAAAGCCTATAGTATCTGTTAGCTGTTGACCAGGCTTCTTTTGAATGCAAGCTAACAAGACAAATAGTTACTCTTTAGGCCATCTATCAGAATGTATCCCTTCTCAAAGCCAACCCCATCTGATGTTTGATGGGATGCGAAGGAAGGAAACCAAAGCAAGTCAGCAATTCCTTTCCTTAATAGATTTTGCACATAATAACTAAGGTCATCACTGTTTGCCTATTAAGGCAGGACAGGGATTAGTAAATTCATAGTAGTATAGTTCTCTGCTGGTTCAAGGACTATTAATGGGAACTTCAACTCAGTAGGAAAAGGCTCCAGGTTAGGTGAAACAGCTTACAGTACTGTATTTCTTCCTGTATTTCTTCAGTTTTATGAAAAATCTCCGTAGCAAAGCCTTGAAATTACTGGCTCTCTTGAAATTGGGAAAATGGATAACTCCATCCTGTTGTGAAAAGCTCTGGACTGCTTGTAACTTGCACAGGAGCTAAACCTAGGATTTTCAATAAGTTTTCTTACTACAGTGGTACCTCAGTACTCAACATTAATTGGTTCCAAGAGCCACAATGAGTACCACAACCGATGAGGATCAAACACTTTTTTCCCATAAGAAATAATGTAGTGAATCACAAGGTAGCTGACACAGACAAGTTCTAGCTTATGCATTGAGTAACAAACAAACAATAAGTTTCGGCAAACTTTTCATGTCAAAATGTGTTGATACCAAATTTAACGAGTTTCAAAGCAGTTGAGTACCAAGGTGCATTCAAAACCAATGTTCAATTATATTTACATATTATTTTTATTGCATGTTGTAATCTATATGAAGAACAATTATTGTGATTATTTTTATTATTCCTATGATACTACATTATTGTTATTGTGTTTTTATTCACAGGAATTTTTCTGGGTGAAAGTATGCCATGCCCACACCAATTGCTACTGTGGTTTGTTAAGGAATAATTCTAATCACAGTATAGACAAGTAAGTGGGAAACTGGAACTAATGAAAAGGAGAATGACCTTTTAAGGGCCCAAAGCTGCATCTGATGTGTAGGTAAAGTAGCAGGCACTGATGGGAAAGGAAAGCTGATAAGTATTTGGGTTCCAGCAGTAAGGTAGGGAAAATTAACTCTACTTCCTTGTGCTTATATCTGCTTAGGGAGCTTCCCCACAGAGTAAATAACAGAAGAAGGATTTTCAACAGGACTACATCCTGGGAGGGAATTGTTCAGCACTCTGGATAGAATAGCAGCACTATTTAACTTATGTTGAATGTGGCTCTAAACATCCAAATATATTTGTAAGAAAATTTCACCAACCTTGTATGGACTTAACTTCTGAATAACTTCGTTTGAATTTCCCTTGTTGGGCATTTTCATTCATACAAAAATTAACTTTAAAGACTAAAAATACAGTGTGCAAAAATGCAATAATTTAACAATTAATAATTTCTTTTGTATACTCTATTTGTGCTATGCATTAAAAAAGATGTTTATGTGACTGAAAATGGCCAATAACACAGATTAATTAATAGTCAAAATATTTTGTTCATTATTACTTCTGAGTTAGCCTCCACAGAACAATGCTAAAAAGTCACATGCTGTCTGCTTCCTTTCTAAGGATGGGGGGAAGGGAAGTTGTTTCCTTAATATGCTGTTATTCCTCTTTTGCTCCTATAACTAGGGAAAAAGAAAAGTTACTTCAAGATTTCCAAACAAGGACAGCCAGACCTCATTTTATTGTCATGTTCCTCTTGCATGTCAGTGCATTTTTCTTCCATATCTTTCTCTAGCTAGAAAAAAGAAAAAAATAATTACATTTAATAAGTACTTCCCTAATGGGTTTTTTTTAACAGTGTAACTGTATATATAGATAGCCAGGGCAGTGTTTAAAGACACATGGCTAGACTTCAAGAGACTATGAATTCTAATCCGGCTTTAGTCACAAAGCCAGCTGGTCAGTCTCCCTCAGCCCTCAGAAAAAGCCAACAGCAAACCATTTTGCCAAGGAAATTGCAGGAACATGGCTGGAATCATTATTGGAATCAAGACTAACTCAAAGGTACACCATTCAGCAGTGCATAGAAGTTCTATCTGCAACCAAGAGACTAAATACATTCCACTTCACCCTATCTCCATGCTAATTCTTCCCATTAGTACTTTTGCTTTAGAAATATCTTTTTAAATTCAATTCACCTAACTTGATAGTAATTGGTTTCTGGAAGAGGTCCTAATAGTTTCCTCCCAACCAGTAGTCTCTCTCCCAATATAGCAGAATCTCTGAAATATCTACGGGGAAGATTTTCTCCACGACCAACATGACTCGCCTGTTTATGTGTTACTTGATGATCTCGGCGCAATTGCTCTATAATAGCTGTCAGTTCAGAAATCTGTTCCACTAAGTCAGCAACAACATCTTCCCTACAAATTGTTCCAGAGAAATAATAATTATTACTTTGAAATGTAAATTTGTTTGGATTTAAATGGATATAACTGAATTATTGCAATGTGCTCTACTAGGAGCTGCCCTTTGAAGACCAATCAGAATATAATGGGTGCCTTTGGGTATGCTCATATGTCACCACTGCTATGTGAGCTGCATTGGTTGCCAGTCCGAATGCAATTCAAGATGCTGGTTATTAACTATAAAGCTCTTGGCATAGAGTCTGGATCCCTGAGAAAGCACCTATTTCCAACTGTTTCTGCTCACCCTGTTCATTCTAGAAATAGGTACACACCCCTTCTATTCATTCATTCATTCATTCAGTCAAGGTGGGCTTACAAATATAATCAATATTTTGGACAGATTATACAAATGCAAACATCCTTGGAGTAGATTCTACTGCTTGGAAAAATTGAAGTCAATTGAAAAAAGATGTTTACATAAGATGGACTAGCTAGATACCATCATTAATGACATAAGCAGGAGTTTAAAAGAACCCAACTAGTTACTGATAATCCTGGCAAAATGATACCATGAAAAATCAGAAGTAACTGAACAACAGAGAGCTGGTTTCTACATTTAAACATCATATTGGATTTTTTATCATTTCTCCCAGTGGAATCATTTTTTTTAAAAAATGCTTGGGAAATTTGGAAATTCGATTTGTTGTCATTAAATCTGTAAAAACATCTCTAGATTACACCATTGTCACATTAATGTGTGACTCAGCCTGGACTTGTATAGGAGGCAAATGCAATGTACAACTTGGATTACTGAAGTCCATTAAAAGACCCTGAATGAATAATAAATAACTTCTGAGAACTAATAAATATAAGAAATACTAGGAAATACCTTCCAATGGCAGTTTAGATATATAGGTGTAGGCATTCTTATCTGAATTTACTAGTAAATAGTAATACATTCTAAAGGACAATTCTATCAATCTGATACAGTCAGACTGAAATGGAATAGGACAGTTTCCCATTTCAATATACATTTTAAAAACAAAAACAAAGATCATAACAACAAAGGTAACATATGTCTCTGAGAATAGCTATAGGAAGGCCGATGTCCTCCACAGGTTCCTTAATACCTGCTATTGGCCAGGTCAGCTAGGTTGCTGTCCAAGCATCTGGAGAATATCAGATTGCCTATCAAAATGCCATGCTAAATCTGAAACAAACAGAATCAAAGTGTCTAGTAGTCCAATTGAAACATTTCATGTTTATATGTCTTCCTTTTAAAAACTCTCTTTTGAGGTCAACAGCAACTCAATTTTGGAATCTGAAATGTTTCCCAATTTTACTATCATTTTCAATTGTCTCTTCAGTTTAGGAGGCTCTTTTGAATACCCCTGAAAATGAGGCTTTTAAACATAAAGGTTTATAACTACAAAAAAAAATTACTGTAGGAAGAATATCAGCTAATTCAGCAGACTAGCAACCTAATGCTCTCCAGTTTATTTGGCCTAGGACTCATAAACCTGTCAGCGTGGCCACATCTTAGGGAAACAGTGCTGTAATATAATTTATATGACCTTCCTTACCTTTTTCTGTCAAAGCTGATCAAACTGTCCATTCTTACTCCAGAGCAGACAAATACACATGAGAAAAGTCTAATAAGTACACAAGTGTTTAACTCAGCAACACCCCAGACATTTTTGCAGAACAAGAATTTGTTGTTTCCAGGGCAGCAGATTTGGTACACTGTTCCTCAAAATACTTTGTAAACTCAGATTAAAATAGACCATAAAGAAATGAGATTAACTCAGAGTAACAAAATACGGGATTATAGAGGAGCAAACAGAACAGGGGACACATTTAGGCACTATATTGATTGCAATCCAAGAAAACCATAAGAGGAAAAGACTGTATCAATACTTACGTTTCAAGCTTAGGTGGAGTGCTGCAAAGGGGGAGAGAGAGAGAGAGAGAGAGAGAGAGAGAGGGAGGGAGGGAGGGAGGGAGGGAGGGAGGGAGGGAGAGAGAGAGAGAGAGAGAGAGGGCAGTATAAAACTCCCATTGCATTCTATTAAACATATTTGATATAGAAAGTCATTGCATTCAAGATCTAATCTATAATCATTTGTGTATAGAGAAAGTATGGGCTGAATTTTGTGGATTACAATATTTGGCAAATTCTGCAGTCTGCAGGCATAATGTAATTACAGCAATTATAAGCATCGTGTCTTAATACAATACAGGAATTTGGGGATGTTATTAGAGCTTTCAGATTGAGACTCAGATCTGTAAAGGAGCATAAAACAAGCTGATGACCAAATGATTGAGACAAATAATTAAATTGTCTCAATTACCACTATTATGTAATGTGTCTTTTATTTAAATCTCTAGACAATCCCATTATGGCGGAAAAGCATAACAGAAAACCATTCAGTTGAACCAAACATTGACTCAAAATCTCATCTTAAAATCTCAGCTATAAATGTATTCAGGCTAATATTGAGAATCAAAGATGACATGGGAAATTACAGTAATTAAAGGCTTTTTGAAGGTTTCCTTCAGCAGCATACATCTTCCCAACTCTAAGATGTAAGAGATATCCCGAGCAGATGTAAAAACAGTTTAAGGGGTTTGTAAGCTAGGAACTGCTTGTTTCTTTTTTCTGGGAAGTGGGTGGGGGGGAGAGAGAAAATTAAATGGGTGTCTGGTCATATCCACTGCTAAATTCTAGATTTCTTCATAGACTTCTATAGGCAGCTCTCACTTCCACTCTAGGACAGAAAAAGCCATCTATTTTGAACTTGATTCTTTTGCATTTATCTTAACAAGACCTAAGCTGTAAACCACCATGATGCCAAAATGATGGGACATTGGCACTGAGGGAGACAAGCACATGCCTTTATGACCCACCTCTACAAAGATCTCTGATGCAGATTTGTAAATTGTGTGATAATATGTATCATCAGGCCCTTATTGATTCCCTTGCCTCCTCTGCACATACTCTTGAGCTTAAGATGTCCTTCTTCAGCTTAACAACCTATTCCTTTCCAGATGTGCAAGACTTCTTCATGGTTCCAAGCCAATATGGTCCTTGGTTATAGTCTCTGGAGACTACATTAGGAAGGCTGGCTGTGGATGGCTGCTCTGTTTGACCTTTGCCTTCTTCTTCCTCCATTAAAATAGTTTCCTGGGAATACTTGAATAGCGGAAACCATCTGCAAAAAGCACATGCTTGAATTCTCTCTCAAAATTTATTGGGAATCTGTATAAAGATGTGGAAGCTTAGTTGGTTGCATTGTTCCCACATACATGAAATAACAAAACACCGATAACATGTCACACAGCAAGAAGTTGGGAATTATGCTATGTGAATACATGATTTGGCCACTATGTAAGATTACCCGGGCACAGTAGTTTTGATGGTTTCTTCTGTAGGCTTTTGTTTCTCAAAGAATTCTTCGCCCAGGGTGACATCAATATGTTCCTTACTGTGAGACAAGGTAAAACCAGGCGTGATCTCTTCTTCAAACACTTTGGATATCTGGGATGAAAAAAGAAGTAACCTTAGAACAGTGGTTCTCAACCTTTTTAATGCCGCGACTCCCAACCGGTCGTACGTCGAGGACTACTCAACCGGTCGTAAGTCGAGGACAACTGGTGCAGCACCGTTTGCAGAATGGGACTTTTGGCAGGCTCAGCAGGGCAGAGACAGCCTGGACAATTCCTATTGGCTTTTGAAAGCCAATAGAATTAGACTCTATTCAAGAGAGTCTATTCTATTGGCTTTCAAAAGCCAATAGAATAAAAGGGAGTAGCGCAGCTAAGGAAAAGGGGAAAAAAATGGTGGACTGCGTTGTTTGGCGACCCCCGTGAAATGGTCGTTCGACCCCAAATGGGGTCCCGACCCACATGTTGAGAACCAATGCCTTAGAAGAATAGCTTCAAAATCCAAACCAGTTATATGCCTCTTGAAATTGAATGTATTTAATGCATTTTGATCTGGCTCTTTGGCCTTAGGTGCTGTCTTCTCATAAAAGAAGCCAGAGTTGTATGCTTTTCCAAACAGGAAAGCTGATGTGTGCTGTCCTTTAGTTTTCTAATTTCAGGAAACCTCAGGTTGACTGATAGATATTTAAAAATATTTATTCCTGAGCACTTAATATCATTTGCTAAAAACAATCTGAAAGAAGGAAGGTATCCAAAATAGGTAAGGGTCTACATTTTCTGGAGAAATTTTATAGTCATACAAATATTTGCTTGGAGAGGGTCAGCCTGCCCGATCAGACCCAAAGTCATCCAACATGGAATCATTCAGAACATTACTTACAAGAACCAAAAGAAAAACCAAAATTCCAAACTGCTCACATAACAATATTTAAATATTAACAAATAAAAGCAAATGGTTACTTAATGAAGCATTAGATAACTATGAAATTGTGATAAAATTGAAATATGAAATATGTTGGGAAAGTGAAAGAGGGAAAGGACTGGAACGCTAATTTGAGAAACAAATATTTGCGGTGGGATTAGATAAGAATGGAAATAAGGATGAGAAGTTAAGAAATGAATCAGGGAGGCGTTCTTTAAGAGAAAATACCATCGTATACTGTCCAGATCAATGTGCACCTGGGGGAAATAAGTTGAGATGGTGAAGATATGCATCCCTCTCTTTTTCCAGGCCATGATCCCAAAATTAATTACAAGGACTGCTGTTATTCTTATCAATCTCATCAGTCTCAGAATCCCATCTTCTCCTTCCTCACCAAGGTATCACAAAGCTGTTACTTTTTTCACTCTGTGATGCATTGGATAATTCTTTCCACTCAATGCATTATAGTATACACTGGAGGAGAAGCTGAGGGTAGAATATTAAACTTGAAACTGAGCTATTTAAAATGTATGCTCTGTTTCAAGAGAACCATAGTAATTTTTTTTTCCTTGCTGGGTTTGGATTCCATCTCAAGATGAAGCACTGCTTTATACTTTAAAAGTCTGTGGGTTGCAATGTTTCGGTTCTTGTGATATTTGCCTGGTGTCTTTGGGGATTAATTTATTGAAGACCATATGTGGCTTGCGTCCTTATGTATTTTGCAATTGTATTCTCTGCTTTAAGAGTTGTCCCTGTAAGATTGACATCTTTTCTTGCCAAAAACATCCTTATGTCACAGCATCAGGAAAGACATTTTCAGTAACTACTGGTATTGCTCAATCCTCAAATTCCTTTTCTCTGAAGATCTAGCCAAGTACAAACTTTTAGTTCCCTTTTTCTGTGTACTTTACTTTAAACTGCTCTTTTCCTCCAGTCAATTTCCCTTATAACTGTATCTTTGCAGCAATTCCTAAAATTGTTCCCCATACATCCCATTTTTTTTTCTGGGTCTTGTTGCCAGTACAAGAGAACTAGTTGGTGTAGCTGTTAAGATGCTGGACTAGAATCCAGGAAACTCTGTGTTCTAGTCCTTCCTTAAGCACAGAAGCCAGCTTCCGGTTCCGGATCACGGCGCCAGCAGACGTGTAGAGAGACTGCTTTCCCCGCCGTCTGGTTTCCCTTCTTCCCTTCTTCGGGAGACCCTGGAAAGGGTTGAAAGTCACCCTGGAGGGGCAACCACCATTGGGGAGGACACTCGCTAGATTGAGGAGGGGTGGTAGCCCCTCCATTTGATCTGAGGCATCTCCTCAGAACTGAAGAAGAAAAGAGCATCCATTAACATGGCCGCTCATTAAGTCGCACCAGCCGAAAGCCAAATTTACATCTAAGCACAATGAAGCTTCGTGGAGGATTCGGGTGAGACCCTTCCTTTCCTCTTTGTTACTCTAATTATCTTCCTGTGAAAGCCTTTTCAAACCTCTCCCCTGCTTTCAATGCAGCAGCGTTTCTATACTTGGGAATTTAAACGTTGAAGGAAAGAAAAGAATAAGTGATTTTAATAACTAAATAACTGAATTTTTGATTTTCGGATACCTTTGGGATTTTAAAAGATCTAATTACCGAGACTTATTATTTCTCTAACCATTTATTTTGGAAAATATCTTCTTTTTTCAGCTTTTTTTTAATCAAATAAAGACTAACTGGCGTCTGGGGAAAGATTTTTGTGGTCGAAGGACGAAAACTGGCACAGCAATTGAATTTTTTTCTCTTCTCTCTCTCTCTTTTTCAATTGTCAGGCCTGTTGACTCTCTTGATTTGCCCTTCATACTATCAAAAAAGATAAGATTTGGAAACAGTGGGGTGGTGAAAACAGCTTTAGAAAGTGTGGAGGTGGGTATTGGTTGATCTTTACTAAACATAGCCTCCACCAAAAGACTATCGCTAATCACCATGGAAATGGAGGGAATCTACCCACAACTTAATTATAAACTAATACTTCAAAAATCCTTGAAGCCACCGAGCTAATAAATTCCCAAGTGAAAGCCGAAGATGTTTTCACCAAACTACAGATTGAACCCCAGACCCCAATTGTTCAACTTACAAGCTAAAAAATAATAGAAGAGGAACAATTTAACATCAAAGAGGATTCTACTCAACAGCATGTACAACGTATGGAGAACTTTGACAAACAGATACTGATGCCAAATAAAATACCTGTAACTCCAAAAGCAACAGGAACTGGTCTACAAACATATCATATTGAGAACTTAGACAACTTGGATGACCAAACAACCATTACAGCACCAGATATGACTCTTTGTTTCAATCAGAAAGAAGAGGAAGACCAGACTGAATTGATGACAAGCATTTCAAACCAAATATGGAGATTTGAACTATTAGGGCAACAACCTAATAACTACAAAGGGGCCAGTTTCATTGAAAAAATGATAACTGGATGTTCTCCCTTGATTTAAACAATATGCGTGGGAATCAAGGGAGATACACTGGAGGATTTAAGGGCATTGGTATGGAAGCCTGCTTGGCATAAAAAGAAAGCCAGAGTTAGATTTAAAAATGGGATTTAAAAATTCATTTGAGGGTTAAGCAGCTTTTCTTTTAGAGATTTTGACTGGTCTTAGAGATATTGACTGATTTAATATTTAGGATTCAGATTTATAATGGAAATTAAAATAATTTGTTAGATTATAGCCTTAATGGTTATAGAGAAATGGATTTGTGATAATGAAAGATATGTTATTAGTATATGAGGTGTTATTAGATGAGAAATAGAATATATTGGTGAATAAAGAAAGAATTTAAATTTTGGAATAATATTTGTATTATTAGTTTATAATGAAATGAGGGAAAGTAGACCTATCTGAATTATAAATAGTAGTTATAAAAGACTAAATTGGAATATGATAACTGGAATTAAATAAAACCTAAAAACAGGACTTGGACATGTATAACTAAAATGTTATTGATAAATGTATAGATTGATTGAACTTTAGCTAGAAATGTACTAATATGAATGTGATATAATACTAAGGGAAATAGAGAGGGAACTTTATTGATGTAAACTGAGATTTCTATGTATCACTCTGTTATTGGATTATTGATTACCCTATCACCATGCTGCTTCCTAATTACCTGGTTGTTAAAATTTGAAAAATTAATAAAATTTGTTAAAAAAAAAAGCACAGAAGCCAGCTGGTGACTTTCGGACAGTCTTTCTTAGTCCAATCCCCTTAAAAGGGTTGCTGTTGTGGGGAACACAGGAGCAGTGAACATTAGTTATGTCATTTTGAGTTAAACAATATAAGGGCATTATAATTATTGATAATTAATATTAATAATACCACCACCATTACCTTCTATCTTATGCCACGGGATCTTAGGATCTTAGAAACAGACCAGAATGGTGTTGGATGAAAGAAGATTAACAAGGGAGGAGCTATATAGTCTGAAGCAAAGTACTGGTATCTAACTTTAATCATTAAATTCTTATTCTGTGGGGTAAGGAATTTTTCCCTTAAGCTTCTACTTCACTGAACTTGGTACAAGGTTTTTACTTTTCAAGGCAAGGATATTACAGGGATGGAGAAAAAGGAATGATTAAAATAGCCTTCCTTAACGTGGCATCCTCCGGATATGTAAAAGTATGACTGCCATAATCTCATTCTGACTAATCATTGTGAAATGTGCAAACCCACACATCTAGAGGAGAGTAGTTTGGAAAAAGATGGATTAAAACATTCATAATTCACGTACCAACGTAATACATGCAAAAAATAACAAATAATATATTTTACTTACGTCTTGAGGTGCTCGGCTTCTTAATGGTTGCACATAGGTTTTGGTGGAAAATTTCACTCTGGAAGGAAAAAATAAGATTATTTAGACTACCAAGGAGATAAAGGCATGTGTCAAAAAATTGATCTCTGCACTAAACTAGAGAGAACACTTACATCTGAATGTCAATTTGGAAAGGAAAACTTAACAGAATACATAAAAAGAACATCTGATATAAATTACCCCAGATTACACTTTGGTAAGCAAATTATTCTCTACAAAAGCAAACTTTGTTTATATCCCGTCAATCAACTTTTTAAAAGGACATACTATAAAAAAATTAATACTGTAGTGCTTCATTGTTTTTTTCCTAATAAGATATGAAATCTGTTTTCTCTCATCCTACCATAAATGTGTCATTTTTGAATTGCAACAAATTCCATCAGAAGATTGCATAAGAATCTGCTTAACACTTTTGTTGAAGATGTTTTTTCCTGATTCTAGAGTTCAGTCATTACTAATGCTTTCTTCAGCATTGCAGGAAACTAATTTAGTTTCACATTCTGGAAGGACAAGTAAGAGCATAGGACGGTTGCTGGAATAATTAGAGAGATAGCTAGCATCTTACTTAGAACATCTATTCATCTTAAGCATTGTACAACAGGCTTTAGTGGCCTTCTGAGGATTGTGCAGCTGTAGTAAGAGTTTATTCTAAGGTAAAAATCTCATTCTGGAAAGAAAACTTAATGTTATTTAAAATACCATGGCAACAAAACTGTTTTGCTTAGGGAGTCCTGTCAAAACCAGGACCTTCTGCATAAAAATAGAAAAGACATGTATTTCAGAAATTCATAAGAGAATGCTTATAAGGATTTCATCATAGAAAAATCAAGAAATCATGGAAACTTCCTCCAAATAAATTAAATAATTAAATACATAATAATTAAAATACAATAGGAAGTACCTATAAAAGGCCTTGTGCTGATAGTTTACCCTTCTCTCGTTAACAGACTTTTTTATGGAGAAAAAGAGAAAAGAATGAAAATACAGAAAGATTATGGTGTCCAGACTCTTTCTAAAATTCCTTGAACGTGCCAGCAATAACCACAAAAAGAAATACTCATCTGCAACCACTTCTGCAGAAATAATTAAGAGCATATTGAAGGACATTGTCATTACTTTGTTGCTTTCAATATTAAATTTGTTCCTCCAATTGGCTTCCAAAGCAAGTTTAAAAATGGATCCTGAATAGCGGGACAAATTGGCCTGGCTTTAATTAATATAGTATCAGATCTGAGTAAAATGGGGAAAACTCTGATAAAATATTAAGAATATTTAAGAGGAAATAGTACCAGCAGGATTTCTCAAAAATTAAAATACTCTGCACTATAATGCAGGATATTTGTGTACATATCATTGGGCTGACATGGTAAACACAGTATACTGGAACAAGTTTGCAATATAGAGAATTTAAGTAGATTGCCCTGAGTTTCTGTACTGGAAAGGGTACTAGGAATAAGCAGCATAGTAGGCAATTTTGTAAACGGTAATATATTTTTCAGCAACTGGTGATCTGCACCCACGTGCATGTATCCTTATATGTTATGGACTTCAGATTGATTGTGGCATCACATCCTTTCTGGACATACAGACTGACAGAGATGTGTCAAGAATGGCAAAAAGAATATCTTGTTTGATCATGTGCCCTGAAGAATACTGACCGAAAACAATTTAAAATTCCCAGCATACACATAAGGTTTTATGTCTTGCACATCCCTTGCTTTTGATCTTCAAGCATAAGAAACTTACCTAGAAATATTTGAAGGATTTAACTGGACTTTGGACTGGTCTTTAAGGATCCCTCCTGATGATGGTTTTCTAATGTGGGGAAAAAAACATTGTTTAGAAAGGATTAATAATTTCTTCAAATGTCAGGCCTAAAATGCAATTGGTCATTAAGTCTCACCAGTATTTCTGAGCCTTCTTGACCTGAATAGGACTGGTGTTTCTCTGCATTAGAATTTAAATGTTGATAAAATCCATTTCTAAATTATACATTTGTCCTCTCTGGCACATAGCAATGCTACATTTTCCTCAGAATTTTGCAAATTTACGATAGTCCTATAAGGCCTGGGAGCATGTGACAGCATGTGAACCGTGCGTTTGAAGCTTTTCTTTAGAGTAAATCCTAACTGAAATAAGCGATATATGCAGAGCTATTATATGTGTAAGAGGTGGGGCATCAGGCAGAATGAAAAGTTCAGCAAAACAGATTGGGAGAAAAATTAGCTACCATGAAGTGATACATAGCATAATACTTTATATATATTGCTTAACAGAGAAACATAGTGAAGCGGTACAGGCTTGCTAGCATAAATAAGGATTTGTGATCCAAATTTGTACATCGGTGAAATACTGTATTCTTCTCCCCAATACATGCAGGGTAGGGCAAATGACAATATGGAAGGAGAAATAGTGCATTAACAACAAAATAACATTCAAGTATGTCTAAATCTAATTTTTCCCACTTTCTCCTAAAATCTAGATTAGTGGTTCTCAACCTTCCTAATGCCGTGACCCCTTAATACAGTTCCCCATGTTGTGGTGACCCCCAACCCCCATCCAGCTGGCCGGGGGGGTATCAAAAACTTGACCCCCCCCAAAAAGGAAAAAATGGGAAAGTATAGGTAGTCCTCGACTTACAACAATTCGCTTAGTAACTGTTTGAAGTTACAACAGCACTGAAAAAGCGAATTATGATCATTTTTTACACTTATGATTGTTGCAGCATCCCCAGGGTCATGTGATTTACATTCGGATGCTTGACAACTGATACATATTTATGACGTTCACAGTGTCCCAGGGTCACGTGATCAATAGCCAGGGGGCGTGGCCAGCTGATCACTCAGGTTGCAGGGTGCCTGTGGGGAGGGGAATCTGTGAGTCTCTGGGATGGGACTGGGGTGAGTGCCTGCCTTCCTTCCCTCCCTTCTCTCCCCGTGTCCCTTCCTTCCTTCTTTTCTTCCTTTCCTTCACCTCCCTTAGTCTCTTCCGCCTTCCCTCCCTCTTTCCCATTGTCCCTTCCTTTCTTCTTTCCTTCCTTTCCTTCACCTCCCTTAGTCTCTTCCTCCTTCCCTCCCTCTTTTCCATTGTCCCTTCCTTCTTTCCTTCCTTTCCTTCATCTCCTTCTTAGTCTCTTCCTCCTTCCACCCCTCTCTCCCATTGTCCCTTCCTTCCTTCTTTCTTTCCTTTCCTTCACCTCCCTTAGTCTCTTCCTCCTTCCCTCCTCTTTCCCATTGTCCCTTCCTTCTTTCCTTCCTTTCCTTCACCTCCTTTTTAGTCTCTTCCTCCTTCCCTCCCTCTCTCCCATTCTTCTTTCCTTCCTTCCTTCCTTCCTTCCTTCCTTCCTTCCTTCCTTCCTTCCCTCCCTTCCATTGTTCCTTCCTTCCTTCCCTCACTCATTGTCCCTTACTTCCCTCCCTCTTCGTCCCTTTCTTCCTCCCCTCCTCCATGCCCAGGAAGGGACAAGGGGATGGGGACAGGCTGCCAGAGGTAGAGGAGAGCTCCGCCCAGCTCACTTGCTCAGCTTCGCCAGAAAACAAGCCGCTTGCTAAGTTAGCAGAAGCCCCAGGATCAACACCGGGCTACAGCTGATTCGCGCTTCTGCTAAATTAGCAAGCTAGCAAAGCTCAAGCAAGTTTGCTGGGCAGGAGCCAAGGAGAGCTGCTACAGCTGACTTGCTTCTTGGCTGGTCTGCAAAAGCACGGATCATCTGTAGAGGTTCGCCCCGATCCTGGACAAGAGGGAAGGAAGGAAGGGCGGAAGGGACAAGGGGAAAGAGGGAGGGAAGGAGGGACAAAGAGGGAGGCGAAGGAAAGGAAGGAAGGAAGGAAGGAAGGGACAAGGGGAGAGAGGGAGGAAAGGAGGAAGAGACCAAGAGGGAGGGAAGGAAAGGAAGTTCCAGCCAGGAGAGGCTTGCCAGCCCGGCTGCCAAGAAACAGAAGAGCGCAAAGCCAAGGAGAAGAAGGTGGCGGTTTCCTTCCAAAGGGGGCTCTTTTTCTCCACCCCTTCCCTGGGTTTGTGGGGAATTTCTCGTCACCAACGCTGACAGGTGCTGCTTTGAGCCTGCCACGAGCTTTCTCGCCCCCTTTGCTTCTCCCCCTCCCCCGCTTTTGTGAGGATTGTGGCGCCCTTGGGAAGCTGATCGTGCTTTGAAGCTTTGGAGAGGAGGAGGAGTCCCTTCCTCCTTCCCTCCCTCTCTCCCTGTCAAGCCCCGGCGGGCTCGACATGAAAGGGCGGAGGAGGAGTCGAGGATGGGCGGGGTGGCAAAGGAGACCGGCGGCTGTAGCCAGACCTCCCAGCAGTCAAGCGCAAGTTCGGGGGTCGCCAGCTGACAGGTGCAGGAGTTGGATGCTGCGGCAGCCTCCCCTTCGCTGATCTGCGTGCACGAGAAGAAGTCAATCCGGTTGCTGCACAATGAGTCTCTGGGGAGAGCGGGGCCTTGCTCTGTGCCTGCACTCTTCATGCACCCCCTGCAGGGCACATTTGGTAGAGTTCGTGCAGACTGCCGCCAAGCAGCATATTTTCCACAAACAAGTGAGGTGGAGCGGAGGGAGGGAGGGAGAGAAGGCAGTTGACAAGCCCTGCCTAAGAGCATCGGAAATATGTGTTTTCCGATGGTCTTAGGCGACCCCTGTGAAATGCTCGTGCAACCCCCAAAAGGGTCGTGACCCACAGGTTGAGAACTGCTGATCTAGATGTATCAATGTAAGTCCATGTCCCTTAGCAATATATACTATTTTAAGTCATTGATGCAGATAAGGAAACCTAGCATGGAAATGCAGTAACCCAGGGATCCCCAATCCCCCGGCCACGGCCCACTACCAAACCATGGCATGTTTGGAACTGGCCTTCCACTTGTGTGGTCTGGTTCCCCCTCCTCTCCTGCCAAGCCTCAAAGTCATAAAGATTGGGAACCACTGCAGAACCAACTCAAAGAAAGACAGGAATAACTTGAACTTTGTCTGTGGCAAAGTATCTTACTATTACAACAACAACAATCAGCAAATAAGCATGTAGAAAGATATTTGTCCACCAGAACATGGCCAAAAAACCTTATTCTAGCTTAAGGATGGGCATTTCTCTTGGGGTCTATTACCATTAAGTTTGTTGAGACCCAACAAACTTTTCCAAAAAAAGGAATACTGGTATCTGCAAAATGAAATGACAGCCTCTTGCAAGACTTTATGTACAAGAATCCCTCTGGGTTCCACAGTAAGCACATAAGCAATCTTGAAACGTTAAAATGTGGTTGATATCAGCCGCCTGCTTTATTTAAAGGTTTGCCTACTGTATTTATCCAGAAAAAGATTGAAGAAAAACTGCCATAACATACTGGGGAATGGCAAGGAACAATTTCATCAGGTTGATAACTCATATTATTTTATTTATTCTTTTAGTGGCTACTCATTTTCACAACCTGACAGCACCCATGGCATGCTTTCCACATTTCAGTGCTATTTTTGGACTCTGTTTGACACTAAGCCGACACAGATTATTACAAAGCAGATCCAAATTGCTGGTGAAACGTCCAACCCATCTATCCTAAAAAGTGATTTCAGTCAAGATGATCACTTTCATTTTGGGATTTTAGCCAATAGAATATTATGTGGTTTATGGAAAAATATAGCAATTTTCTATTTAAAATATTCAGCATAAGGATACTAAATTGTTATACATCTGTAATCCCAAGAAACAGCAGCAGCCAATTTTATAATCTTCCTTCCATAAAGAGAGACTGCTAATCTTGAATCTCTTTTCTTGCTCAAATCTTCACCCCGAGTTCTCCAACTCCTATGTGGAGTCAAGGTGATTCACAACCCTAATGCTTCCACTGGTGAAGCATCCACTATTGCCCCAAACATGATTTAATTTTCAGCTTCACCCAAAGTTCTATCACATTACTTTGCTACACTCTACAGGTAGCTTTATAAACATCATTTATTTGGTACAATGACCAGATCTAGAATGGTAAATCATTGAAGGTAAAGTGATAATATCTTGTTCATTCCATAATTTCAAAAAATAGTTTTTTGATTGCAGATTTCCATACATAAAAATGTTCTTTCAGATATTTCTAGGAATGAATCCACTGTCTAGTAGTTCCTTGCTATTTTATATACTGTAATATCTAGGATTTAGAACTATTTAACAATATATTGGCATGCCTATTATTTAAAATTAAGTGGACTATTGATTTTAGTACAGTTGAATCTTTAGTTCATCTTGCAAGCCATAGTAATTGATCCCATTCTGCTAATGATGTTTATTTAATGTTTAGACATTAGGAAATACTGTAAAGCAGAATAACAGAACAGCATAACAGAATTGGAAGAAGGTCTTGGAGATCTTCTAGTCCAACTCCCTGCTCAAGCAGGAAACCCTATCCCGTTTCAAACAAATGGCTGTCCAGAGTCTTCTTAAAAGTGATGGAGCACCCACAACTTCTAAAGTTAAGGCGTTCCACTGGTTTTAATTGTTCTCACTGTTAGGAAATTTCTCCTCAGTTCTAGGTTGCTTCTCTCCTTGATTAGTTTCCATCCATTGTTTCTTGTCTTACCTTTTGGTGCTTTGGAAAATAGATTTAACACCTCTTTTTTGCAGCAGCCCCTCAAATACTATAACACTGCTGTCATGTCACCCCTACTTCTTCTTTTGTCTTGACTAGACATACCCAATTCCTGCAAGCCTGCTTCATGTGTTTTAGCCTCCAGCCCCCTAATCCTTTTTGTTGTTCTTTTATGCACTCTTTTCAGAGTTTCTATATCTTTTTTATAATATGGTGACCAAAACTGGATGCAGTATTCTAAGTGTGGTCTTACTAAGGCTTTATAAAACAGTACTAAACATCACATGAACTTGATTCTACCCCTCTGCATTCGCTTTTTTGGCTGCTGCCGCACACTGCTGGCCCATATTTAAGTGATTGTCCACTGGGACACCAAGATTCCTCGCATAGTTACTACTTTTGAGCCAGGTTTCACATAATCTGTACCTGTACATTTGGTTTTTCTTGCCTAAGTCTAAAACCTTACTTTTCTCTACATTGAACTTCATTTTGTTAGATAGGCCCAGTGTTCAAGTCTGCCAAGATCCGTCTGGATTTTGAGCGTATCTTCTGGGGTGTTGGATATTCCTGCCCGTTTGGTATCTGCAAATTTGATGAGTTCCCCTTCTAAATCATTTATGAAGATGGTGAAGAGCATTGGGCCTAAACTGGAATCTTGGGTACCCTAATGCTTACTTCCCTCCATGTTATGTAGTTCCATTAAGGATAACTCGTTGAATGCAGTTTGCCAGCCAGTTGGAAATCCATTTGGTGATGATGCTGTCTATCCTACATTTTTTTTTTTTTTTTAGTTTACCAAGAAGTAGGTTGTGGTCTACTTTGTCAAATGTCTTACCAAAATCCAAGTATATTATGTCCACTGCATTTCGCTGGTCCACTAATTTAGTTACTTTATCAAGAATGAGATAAGATTTGTTTGGCATGATCTGGTTTTAATAGACCCATGTTGGGTTCTGGTTATAACTTTGCTTGCTTCTAGGCGTTCACAGATCTGTTGCTTGATTATCTTTTCCAGGATCTTCTGAGGTGTTGATGTCAGACTGATTGGTAGTTTCCTGGATGTTCTTTTTTCTTCCTTTTTTAAAGATGGGAATCACATCATCTCTTTTCCAGTCCTCTGGTAATTCTCCCGGTAGTTCAGGATCTATGAATGATATGGTTCAATGGTTCCGAGATCACGTCTGTCAACTTCAGTCTCAAAAGCTTCAGTCTCAGAACATAAACTGAAGGACATTCCATTTCATGTTTTTTTTTTCTTTGAAAGTTACAGTTACATAAAAATTACATAATTACATTTTTTTAGTTTTTATTGTTTTTTTAATATAATTGCTTTAGATTTTATATGTAATTACTGTCATTTTCTTATAATCAAATTTGAATATTGGAATACATTCAGAGTCACTTGAAATCAGGTGGCATATAAATTTAATATATTATGGTTGTTCATACAGACAACTAAATGTTTAGACTGGATTTATTTTTATCCACTGATCAAGTCTTTCCCAAGGACCTGGGATAGGCAGATGTTGATGTTTGATGGTATTAAAGCTATTGTCTCAGGAAATAAACTTTTCCAAGTAAAAATATTTTTTGCAATTGACTGATGGTGATTTTGTCAATGCTGATGATTTTTGAGTAGTGTTCCATATGTTTTGAAATTGTTTTGGAATAATAATATAATATTACTCTTATATCTGAATAATATACCTGAATTCCAATATTATAGCTGAATGCATATTACAGAAACAATTAATTTGATAGTCACATACATTCTACAAACAGTTTATGTCAGGAATCAATTTTTCCAGGCTCCATGCAAATCAAAAGGAACTCACTGAGGTCCTTGCCATTTACTTGCTTAAAATTTAGCAGGGGAGGAGTTCCTTGATGTTTCTATAAATTGTGAGGACAATTTAAGTTTTACCTAGGCAATGTACTATTGATAACCCTCTTTAACAGCTTTTTAGTGGTTCTGTTATGTGTATATTTCTGTCAGGATCATGGGCAACAGTATTGCTCTCAGATTACCTGACAGCAATACTGTTACATAAGATCCAAGTTTTCATATGCTCTGTGGATGAAATGCTTTCTCCCTCTCACAGACTTTCCTACCAATTGTATATTATTTCTTCCCCCTCATAATCCAGTATTTAGTTACTCCTTAAAGAATGATTGGAGAGATGACCTTCTGTCATTCTTAAGCACATAGTGACTTTTCTGATTTGGAAGTTGGGTTGTTTTGGATTTCCCCAAACTAAAATATGGCATGGTGGCCCCTACAACCCTCTCAATCACTAACAAAACACTTATGGAGATTCTGGGGTTGTTCAAATGTTCATTGATAGTTCAGCAACTGAGAAATTATTGATCTTTACAGGTATACAACTCCATCTCTGTACTTTTACTTACTTGAGCTTCTGATTCAATGAGCCTACTTTAGTTTTTACAAGTTTTTTAGTCCTTCCTTTCCAAGGATCCCAACAAGGGCAGTATAATAAGGGAGCTTGAGACATAATCTTCTGATCTTGAAAGTCGTATGTCAAGAAACCTGTAAGATGGAAGACAAAATAGATCTTCATAATTCAAAGACTTATCCTACCAAAAAGTGCATCTAAGGATGACATGTATTTGTCTGATTTTAGATGGCCAGGGAGGATGGGTTTGGAGGTCTAACATCAAACATGTTGAACAAGTATGCTAAAGCACTATAGTATGTGAAAAAACTAAATAAACAGTTAAAAGTATTTTCTCTTTTCTTCTATCCCATTGAATTTGAAATTTGAACCAAATTCCAACTCATCTTCCTTTAAGGCACAGACTAATCAAACTCTATGGGAAATACATTTGGGAAGTCATCATGAAAAATTTTTGAGCAGCAATAATTTTTTAATTGCTGAAACCAGAACTTTTTCTATTGGGACTAATGGGTAGCCAACTAAAAAAAAAACTCTGAAAATGTTGGTTTTGTATATGCAGCAAGGTTATTATATGGACAAAGATAGAAAATACTGAACTATCATAATGGAGGAATGGACTATGGAGATGATGGAATTTTCACAAATAGCAAAACTTACCTATTTGATCAGGACAGGACAAGTACTTTTATTTAAGACTTTTATGGATTTTTACTGAAAATGTAAAAAAGTGATTTATGGCGATTTATGATTTGTTGGTTAAAAAGAGTTGAATTTGGAAAAAAGAAAGCATGATGTAATTTTAAAGAGGGAGGTGTGAGGATCTACTTGCCTGTAACTTCAGTAAAGAAACTTGGAAGTTGTTTTTTATATAACTTTTTTTCCCTCATACTTTTCTTACTTTCTCACTTTACTTTTTATTTTCTTTAATCTTTATATTATGTTTAGCTTTTATATATGAGAAGTTTTTTTAAAAAAACATCATTTTTAAACAATCAATTTTTTTCACTGAAGTCTTTTTACAAGGTTTTTTTATACTGAACCTTTAGAAAAGATTCATCCACTCTTGAGGTGGCTTATACGTAATATACACAACAGAGTTCATTAGGTTTAAATAAGAAAACTTCCAAAAATCAATTTTAAAATACTTTAGAAACTCAAGCAAACCTATAAATAGGTAGACAGCCTTTGGCTTTGGAAACAGGACAGTGGGGCAGAAACCAATTATTTTAATTATAGGTATATAAATCCACACCCTCACTGACATGAATTCACCATTTCAGAGTCTGGAAACTTTGTGGGGCTGTGTGCACAAAAATATTATGTTCAGTTGCTCATAATAACTGCATTCTCATCTCCAGCCTGCCACTTTAACAACAAGCACAAGAATTTTAATAAACAATTTAAACAACAGAGAAAATGGCAGATCCCAACTGAAAAAAAAAGGTGTTGGAAATCACTCTGTTACTTTTGTTGCATTATGAAATGATTAAGTCATAGAAACAAGCATCAAAACTACAGTTGGTCATACCATAGTAACAGATGGATCTTTCCCTACCACCATTTCTGGTTCAAGAGGGAAGTTTACTTGCACTTAGACTGAGATCATCTGGGATGTCCCCTTTACTGGTTGGTTAATATAGAACATTTAAAGCCAGTCAAGAGAAACTTACAAGTGAACAGATTTTTTACCGAGTGGGGATGGCGTCCATTAAGGCTTGGAACCTTAGTGGCTCCTCAGGAGATTTTAAGCTCTTTCTCACCATGGAAACAGATTTACTGTCTGCCACCTTCCATTCTATTTTTAAAGGCACAGTACACAAAACAGTGTCACGCTTGTTCTTAATTTATTCCAAACTCAAGGGGGTGCTCTAATACTGGATTTCCTGAACCATCTACAGGTCAATCAGAGTAAGCAATGAATTAAAAATAAGGGGGAGCATTCCTAGTAAGTCACACGTCATTTCTGGCTTTTGAAACTCTGAAAAAGATATCCTGTCGTGTGATCCTGAAAACCTATATGACTTGTACTGAGTATCATGTTGCGCAGTATTAAATTTATCCCCACAACTTTAGAAGGCAAAATTGCAGTTAAGAATGAGGTTAGTACAAAATGGCTGCCTAACCTTCTTTGGCAATACAATTGGTATTGTGTAACATGCATTTGGTCTCTTCCAGGATAGCATTGAAGAGTATAATACACAAGGGCTTTTCTACCTTTTCACCGATTTTACCACTTTTAGGATATGGCAATAGTCGAGTACCACCAGTCGCCTAACAAGGTGTCAAAAACTTAATGACCCCCCCCCAAAAAGGAAAAAAATGATAAAGTACAGGTAGTCCTTGACTTACAACAGTTCTCTCAGTGACTGTTCAAAGTTACAACGGTACTGAAAAAACAGACTTATGATGATTTTTCACACTTATGACCGTTGCAGCATCCCCAGGGTCATGTGATTTACATTCAGATGCTTGGCAACCAATTCATATTTATAATGGTCACATTGTCCCAGGGTCATGTGATCGCCTTTTGCAACCTTCTGACAAGCAAAGTCATTGGGGAAACCAGATTCACTTAACAACCGTGTTACACAACTGCAGTGATTAACAAATGTAGCAAGAAAAGTCATAAAATGGGGCAAAACTCATTTAACAAATTTCTCACTCCTCCTTTTATATCCTCTCTTCTCTCCCCTTTATATTCTCTTCTCTCCCCCTTTATATCATCTCTTCTCTTCCCCCTCCTTTTATATCTTTTCTCCCCTTCTTTTATATGCTTTTCTCTCCCCCCTTTATATCTTCTCACCCCCCCTTCTTCTATTATATCCTCTCTTCTCTTCCCCTTCTTTTATATCGTGTCCTCTCCCCCCCCCCTTTTCTCTTTGATGCACCTCCAGCTGACTGCTCTCCTCAAGACTGTACTTCTCCGTCTCTTTTGCTGTCCCTTTCTCTTCCCCCCTTGTCTTTTTTAAATCTCCCTCTCCTGCTAAAACCTGCTCCTTTTATAGCCACTCCTCTCTCTTCCCCCTCCTCCTTTTCTCTTCCGGGTGCATGGAAGTGCCGATCAGTGCTGTAACTGCATGCACTGATCCTGGGCTCTCAGCAGGACCCAGGCAACCCCTCGTGCAGTTGCAGCTGAATCCCTGCCTGAAGACTGCGTGAGGCTGCCTGCCACCCCCAATCAGCCGGGGCTGCGTGCGCTGATCCTGGGCTCTCAGCAGGATCCAGGCAATGCCTTGCGTAGTTCCAGCTGACTTTCCCACAAGTCTGTGCAGCACTGCTGCTTCACCTCATCTACTTTTACACTTTTTTTAACAGTGCTTTTCATCCCATCGTACGCATACCACCTGCCAGGTGCCTGCGTACCACCAGTGGTATGTGTAGCACTGGTTGAAAAGCCCTGTAATATACCTCTCAAATCATTTAATTATTCCAATTCTTTTCTCTCTTGCCAGTTCCACTTGTCTTCATAAATAAGGTGACTAGTGTTGCTTCTCCCCATTCTTACTGGCCCGTTTTGTCATTCCTCAAAGCTTTTCAGTCTATTCCCTGGCACTTCAGTTTTGAGGCACATCAGCAAACAAGCCATGTATAAGCTTTGTACTGCACAGTATAAACTTTGAAAACTCGCCAGAGTACTCACCCTTACAATGATTATAACTTTTCTTTTTTCCTTAAGCTTGTTTTGATTTTCTTCATAAAAGATACTGAATGACCTGTATCTGAGCAAAGTATACAATGAATACACACAAACACATAAAGGACTTTTACGAAATTCCATGGGTGAAAGAGAGATCTTTATTTTTGCGCAAAAAGGTTCAGAAGTGATTTAACAATCAGCAAATTTCTGAACAAGGGGGAGGGTCTAAACTAAAGCTTTATAGGTTTCTTTCTCTCAGGAACAAAAGAAGCATAGATGGAATCTTACATTGTATATGGAATCTACTTTTGTGTAACATTCAGTTTCTCACACGTTTAGGTCCATTTCTCATGGGAATATAATGAAGGCAGTTTTTTACTTTTATACAATGTTTCTAAATATGCATCAGGTCATTCATGTACTGTTAATACAGCTTTTGGCTAACACAGCTTTCTTTCAGAGATTATGCAGACACATGATTTTTGCTTTTAGTGATTTTTCATTATTATTATTATTATTATACTTTATTCTTCTTTATTCTATGTTATTCTATTTCTTTCCCACTTTACTCCCCCCTTTTGGAAGTTTTTCCAGCTTAAACTTCCATTATTCTACCTCTGATTCCGTATCTCCTGAAGGTACCATTTTATATTCCCATAAGGCTAACATTGTTTCATGTTTCGCTGTTAATTGGGCTGTACTTTCTGAGATTCTCCGAATCATGGCTATAAGACAGGGGATCAAGCAAGGAATTAAAATACATCCTAGAATTAACAAAACTTTCAGGCCTATAAACCTTCATAGTCATAGCAGCCTTGTTAATTCCAAGATCCATAGCAGTGGTCTCATTGGTTCTAGACCACCATTTACCATCTTCCCATGTCCCTGTGCATAGGAGGTCACCTACTGCTACACAAGATTCTGTTTTGTTTCTTGAGTAACACACATGTCCTACCAAGTTGGAAGTGAGACCCCAATCACCATCTTTCCCACTTGTATAGGTTAAGTTATTATTTTTAGACATTTCTAGTACCTTGGTATAATTTAACTCTTGTGCCTCCCACGGCCACCTTTCTCCCATGTTTGTTCCACCACACACAAAACAGTTAGACACGCCTAAAGTATGGGCAATGTCTTCTGCTAACTTAACAAAGGTATTGGTTACATGTCTAGATACTTCAGGAATATGTAGGTTCTCCATTTCCTCATAATATGACCAAAATAATGATTTTTGTTCTGGTCTTTTGGTTGCAGTTATAATTTTGACTTCTATTTCTGACATTGGGTCATAGCCATTTGTATCTATTCCTATCCCAAACATCCATTTCTTACTTTCCCACCTATTTTGTTCTAGGAACCAACTGCCATTCTTGACTGTGAGAGTCACCAAATTACAGTTATCCGTTCCACAGGAATTTGCTTTTGTTTCATTCTTTTCAAACAAGATGTGGTCTATCTCTTTTGGGTCTTGGGTATGCCACTTAATACATGACCACCACTTACATTTGACCGCACATCCATCTGGTGGGCACAAGTACTTATGTTTTGGGATAAAGTTGTGAATATTACCGACCCCTCCGCAACCATATGTTGGAGTCCAATAATTAGCTGCTTTGCAAACATCAAAGGTGACGCTAAAACTGGAGTGTGGATTGGATTTCCGTTGGGAGATCCCTAAGAGTGCCTGGTCCTTGTAGCTAGTTCTTGTTCTATGTGTTTTGATTTGTAAGGCCCAACGATCAGGATCAGATTTCGGGTTATAACACTGATATTGGACACCTTTTCTACAAACTTTATATGTAGTTCTATTGTATGTACAAGAGTCAGGAGAACTATCTTGGCACCCTTCTGGTTTAACTGTATGGTAAATCAAAGTCTTGGTTATCTGGTTTCCTTGTTTTGTAGTTTTGATACAGTTTTGACAACCTTGGTTTCCCTGTGTTTCTGCTCTTTCTTGGTGTGTGCTACTCAATAATTCTTTATTAGAGGGTTTCTGCATTATGACCTCTCGTGTAGCCATTGTACTGATTTGTGTAGGAATGTGTGTGCATATTAAATAATTAACAAATATTACGAGCTGTAGAATCCTCATATCTTCCACCGTGCGTAGAGAGACAGCTTCCTGGGGTGTCTCAGCAAGGTTGTTGATCACACCGTGTCTTGGGAACCCGTTGCTGTATTTCTTGTAAATTTCAACACCAAAGGCTTGTCAGTCTTGTCCACCTTGTAGGTCACCGGATCTGCAGGTGCAGCTGCTTTCACTCTACTCCAATGGATCCAAGATTTTCCTTCCAGGGTTTTCACTGCCAAAGGAGAACACATGACAACAGTATACGGTCCTTTCCATCTTGGGCTCAAGGGATCTGATTTCCAGTGCTTTACCCACACTCTATCTCCAGGCTTGAACCCATGTGTTGCTGTAACCACTGGAGGGGGTTGTTGTTCCATCATATAATGGCGCAATTTTGAAACGGCCAAATTATGAAGCTGTAACTGATGTAACAATTTCTGTTGATCTACTCCCCCTTTATGTGCCAAATCGGGCCATCCTTGACTGTCAGGTTTAAACAGGCAAGGAGGACGGCCAAACATGAGCTCATAAGGACTAAGTTGTAATTTAGTGCGGGGGGGCAGTCTGATTGCATATAAAACCATAGGCAAAACATCTGGCCAGTGTAGATGAGTTTCCAAACAAAATTTGGTAATAAGTGTTTTAATTGTTCTATGGGATCTTTCCACTCTAGCAGCCGATTGAGGGCGGAAAGCACAATGAAATCTCCACTTAATTCCTAATGCTTGGGCTAAAGCCTGATTGATTTGGTGTACAAATTCAGGGGCATCATCTGATGAAATCCTAGAAGGGCAACCAAATCTAGGAATAATTTCTTTAAGAAATATTCTGGCAACCTGTATAGCTTTCTTATTTACAGTTGGAAATGCTTCAATCCATCCTGAATAGGTATCAATTATTACTAACAATGCTACATATTTCTTACTTCTAGGCATGTCAGTAAAATCAACAACAACATAGTCCATAGGAAAATAAGCGATTGGTTGTCTGCCAGGTGGTATTACTGGTCCTTGGCGTGCATTGGTTTGGGCACAAATGGTACATTGAGAACAAACATCTGCTATTAGCGAAGAAGCAAATGGAATATAAAAAAATCGTTCAAGTTGCTGTAATAATGCAGTTTTTCCCAAATGATGTTGCTTGTGTTCCTGAAAAATAAGTGGGCGAGCAAGTGCCAAAGGAACAGCAATGCGTCCATCAGGTAAAGTGTACCAGCCTTTAACTAGTTTGGCTTGTACATCTTGTTGTAATTTTTGAGTTTCCTCCCTCGTATATGTAGGATCAAGTTGTTCTAAGTAAGTGTCTAGATACATGAACCTTGTGACATCTGATTGGAGAGGGGGACCTTCTAATGCAGCTCTTTTTGCTTCTTTGTCTGCCTTCCTATTGCCCTGGGTAATAAGGCTTGAGTCTTTTTGATGTCCAGGACAATGGATGATTGCAACTTTGGATGGCAATTGTGCTGCCTTGATAAGTCTTTTAATCAAAGTTGCATATTGGATAACTTTGCCTGTGGAATCCAAATATCCTCTCTCTTTGTAGATAGCCGCATGTGCG